TAGGCTGTAGCATTCATGGGAAAACCATTAAATTTGGATGGTTTCGCGACCTTTATGTTCAAAATTCGTTGGTTAATTTTTATTCCGAATGTGGGTTCTTGAAGAGTGCTAGGAAGTTGTTTGATGAAATGCTGAACAGGGATGTTGTTTCTTGGAATTCGATGATTATTGGGTACTTGAGAGGTGGGAATCTTGATATGGCATTAAAATTGTTTAGAATCATGGGGAACAGGAATATTATCACTTGGAATTCGATGATAACGGGTCTTGTTCAGGGTGGCTTGGGAAAAGAGGCCTTGCAACTGTTCCATGAAATGCAGAATTTAAGTCATGATAACGTTAAACCAGATAAAATTACAATGGCTAGTGTACTTTCAGCTTGTGCTTACGTTGGTGCAATTGATCATGGGAAATGGATCCATAGTTACTTGAGGAGAAGAGGTGTTGAATGTGATCTGGTAGTTGGAACAGCATTGATTGACATGTACGGTAAATGTGGTAGTGTGGAGAGGGCATACGAGGTCTTTAAAGAGATGCCTAGAAGGGATACCTTGGCATGGACTGCTATGATTTCTGCATTTGCACTTCATGGGTATAGCAAGGAGGCTTTTGACACTTTTGAAGAGATGGAAGCCGTGGGAGTGAAGCCTAACCACGTCACATTTGTTAGTTTGTTGTCAGCTTGTGTTCATTCTGGCTTGGTAGAGAAAGGTCGCCGGTGTTTTGATATGATGAGGCGTGTTTATTCTATAGAACCGCAGCTTCACCACTATGCTTGCATGGTTGATGTTCTCAGTCGAGCAGCGTTATTTGAAGAGGTAGAAAATCTTGTAAGAAGTATGCCAATGGAGCCAGATGTGTTTGTTTGGGGCGCGTTACTTGGAGGCTGTCAGATTCATGGAAATATAGAACTAGGAGAAAGGGTAGCACAATATTTGATTGATTTGGAACCGATTAACCATGCTTTTTATATTAACTTGTGTGATATATATGCCAAGGCTGGTAGATTTGATGATGTAAAGAGAATCAGAGCCTTAATGAAAGAAAGAGGTATCAGAAAAGAAGTTGCAGGCTGTAGCATGATTGAAGTTGATGGCTTCGTTCTTGAATTCTCAATTAAAGGGTGGCCTGAGCTCGTGATGGACGAGATAGTGGTGATCTTAAATTTATTGAAGAATGAGATTAAGGGTGAAGGTTCCGTTCATTACTGTGATGGGATACTGTTGGATGCACAAAATTGATGAGGTCGTACCTATTAGTATTTGGCTTTTCTCTACTTTACACGGTTCAAAAGAAGAAATGGAACTAAGATTTGTGGGCGGCAATACCGTTCAAGGGTACAAAGGCAACCATTATCATAAAAAGAGCCAGAGAATTACTTGACAGAGGTAAAGTTCCCTCTTGATAAAAATTTTAAATTGACAAAATAGACTATTAGGTTTTCCCACAGTTAGTTGCTAATCTATTCTGTAAACTGAATCTTTTCTTTTTCTGTTTCAGGCAAATGACTCTATCTTTTTCTTTTTTTTTTTGAAAGAAAAGTGTTGCATAGCTTAGCTTGTTGCTGCAAGTGAAGGGATTTCCCGGATTCTTTAAAGAAATGAAATCATCATTGTATAATGCCTGGAAAACTACTGTTTATGTGTTTCAGATTATAAGACCATATTATCAACATGGACAAGATAGCGGATTAGAAGTCAAAATCCTTGCAAGGTTGGGACCACATGAGATTAAAAATTTGTGATTGACCACTATCTCCGTTCTATATCATGCGCTTTTATTAAAAAATGGCTAATGAGATATTGCCATAATAATTCCTGATTAAATATGCAGATGACCCGATAAGAACGATAGGACGGCACCATTCATTTTGTAGACTTGTTCTCTGATGCAAAAGTCAGATGCCAAACTCTCATCAGGCTATCTAGAAATATATCAAAAAAGATTATTTACTTCTGAGCTTTTTTCTCCCCGACCCAACCATGGGCGCTTTCTTTCTTTCTTCTGCCATCATCTTACTTCTCATTGCCCTTTTCATTTTAAACCCTTTTGTTCTAGCTCTGGTTGGAGCGTTGACTTTGGTTCTGATAATATTTACGGCTTTATTCTTATTACTTCATGTTACAGAATTGATCGCCAAGGACAAACGGCCACCCGTGGCTGGTCTAATGTTGAATCAGGTCGTGCACTTTAATGGACTTTTTGATTACCAAACATCCCTTGCTAAGAAGCACAGCACTTACCGACTGATTATGCCATTGCAAAGTGAGATTTATACTGCTGATCCAGTTAATATCGAACATATACTAAAAACCAATTTCCCTAATTATGGACGGGTATGAATGTTTTGCGTTATCCTTTTAAGCTTTATTATCTTTCTTTTTATTGGCATTAAATTTGGGCGTTGTGGCAGTACAGGGTGCCCATGCTGAGATACTGAGAGATCTCTTTGGTGATGGTATCTTTGCAGTAGATGGAGAGAAATGGCGCCATCAACGGAAGCTTGCAAGCCATGAGTTTTCAACCAAAGTTTTGAGAGAATATAGTACTGCTGTGTTTCAGGATAATGCTGCAAAATTGGTTTCAAAAGTTTCTATTATGGGAGCAGCTAGGCATGCTATGGATTTGCAGGTTCCTGATCTTGCTTGTAACTTTAATACGCTACAAACTTTGGTAGAATTAACTTTTTAAATAAATTTTCAGACTATTAGATCAAGCACTTACCTGGCACAAGAGAATTTTGATAATCATTCTTGAGATAATACTTTCTTTTGGGGTCTCTTGGAGATTGAAAAAGACTTGTATCGGATTCTAAGTTTAAGCATTATATTTTGTTTATATCCTTCCCTTGAGAAAAGAGAGAGAGAAAAAGTTAAGAGGGGGAATGGGGAAAAAAATTAAGGGGTTTTAGCAGTAATTCTTTCTTAATTGGTGTTAGTCACAGCATAAGGATTTAGGTCTACAATTGATCTTCTTTCAGTTACTTCTCTTAAATTTTAATACATTTTTTGCAGGATATGTTTATGAAATCAACTTTGGATTCAATTTTCAAGGTGGGATTTGGAGTTGAGTTGAATGCATTGTCTGGCTCAGATGAGTTTGGAAACCAATTCACCAAGGCTTTCGATGATTCCAATGTTATTGTGTATTGGAGATATGTTGATCCGTTCTGGAAAGTTAAAAGGTTGCTTAATATAGGATTGGAAGCCGCTCTTAAAAGAAATGTCAAAATCATTGATGACTTCATTTTTGAATTGGTTCGATGTAAAAGGGAGCAGATGAAAAATGAAAAGCTTGTGGTTAGTAAATTCCACCATTAATTAGTACTTATGAAACTTTTGTTTCTTGAGTATTTAATTTGTCAATTGTTTCCCGATGAGCAGAGAGATAGAGAAGATATATTGTCAAGGTTTTTGATGGAGAGCGAGAAGGATCCTGAGAACATGACTGATCAATATTTGAGAGATATTATTCTCAACTTCATGATAGCAGGCAAAGATACATCAGCAAATACACTCACTTGGTTCTTTTATATGCTTTGCAAGCATCCCCTTGTTCAGAAGAAGGTTGTACAGGAAGTCATAGAATCAACTCAAGCTGAGGATAAACTATGTGCTGATGAATTTTCCAGGTTGATGACGGAGCAAGCTCTAGGCAGAATGCAGTATCTTCATGCGGCATTAACTGAAACTCTTCGACTCTATCCAGCTGTTCCAACGGTAACATTTGGTTTCTCTTTCTATTTTCTGTGGAAAATGTAACTTGATGTTATTTTCCAGTAAAGCACATAAACATAGTGAAGTCATCTGTGATTATGTATTTTCTCAGAGCCATTGGCTTAATGCTGCTTTCATGACTGTGAGTTCAACCCATTATAGTGTGGTTGAAAACAGGCAGTACTCTGTATGTCTCTACAAAAAAGAAATCATCTTCTTTATTCCTGATGCAGGATGGGAAGTGTGCAGCAGAGGATGATGTTCTCCCTGATGGTTTTAAAGTAAAGAAAGGAGATGGGGTAAGTTACATGGCTTATGCCATGGGAAGAATGACATATATATGGGGAGAGGATGCTGATGAATATCGGCCTGAAAGATGGCTTGAGAATGGCATTTTTCAACCAGAGAGTCCTTTTAAGTTCACCGCATTCCAGGTAACATTTTTGCTCTAACCTTGTGTGAAGAGAATTTCTTGATATTCTCTATTTAATTTAATTGAGCTGTGATTTATCCCAAGGCCGGGCCTCGCGTCTGTCTCGGGAAGGAATTTGCATACAGGCAAATGAAAATCTTGGCAGCTGTTCTCCTCTATTTCTTCCAATTCAGACTCGTGGATGAGACGAAGGAGGCTACATATCGGACCATGTTCACACTTCACATGGCTGAAGGGCTCAATGCGTATGCATTTCCCAGGACGTAACCATGGACTGGAAAATGTTTGTTTGACACTTCTTCTTCGCTTTATGTTGCCAAATATATTTTTATTGGTCAAATTATGCAAGTAGTCCAATACTTTATCAAAGTGATAGATTTAGCCATCTATAAATTAATTTATAAAAATTAAATTTTTATATTTTTAAAAATTGATAATATCAGTTTATTATGTTAAAAATTTTCTGTTATCTATAATGATATGATGTTTGTTAGGTTGACATGTTATTTTTTTTTTTTCATGTGACATTGAATTTAATGATATGATAATGATAATATAACATTTCATGAATGATGCAATAATAGTGCTAATATGACGTGATTAAGCATTGAGATAAACTTTATAAATGCGGACATGAATAAGTGCGGACATGAAATTATTTAATATAAATAAATAGTTTTAAATGAGATTAGAAAAGAAACAGATAAAAAAATTGAATAAATTTTTGAGATTTAAGAATATAGTGTTGTGAGATATAAAAAAATTAAATTTTATATTAAATTTATCATTTTAATGGAATAAAGAACTAATTTCATAATTTAACTTATTTTTATTGCAGTTTCCTACAAAAATATTTTAATAAACTTTTGTATGCTCGCTATAAATTATACTTGTTTTAAAACAAAAAATCCCAAGTAATCGAAACATAAGTCTCGATTCAGGGTGCAGTACTAGAAATATTTAGGTTTTGACATTTTGTAAATACTGCATTACATATAGAAAATTCAAAACCCCCTCTCCCCTCTCCCCAAAGTACATATAAAATAGTACTTAATTATCAACTTCTTTGATTAGGTTCCCAATAGATATGGGTGATTTATAATTGAAAATCTATCTCAACAGGCTCTTGGAACCATAACTCAAATGCTTAGTTAAGTTGTAATTTAATGAGGTAAATTGGTTTTTGCTAATTTTATTTTTATGCTAGTGATAAAAGTAACAAGTGACTTTATTTATAATACTCTTACTTTTACGTAATACTTTCACATAATATAGTTACGACTTATCAATATTGAATTATCAAAGTTAATTATCTGCATTGTAATCTATTGGACGTATCACAATTTTTGTTCTTACCTTAAAGTATACATTTTATTTAACAAGATTCAATCTGAAAAATATATATAATAATAATAATATTAAAATTTTTAAAAGATTGAACTAAAACAGTAGAATTGACTTACAATTTGTTGATAGATAATTTTCAAAGAAGAAGAAAGATATATATTACCAATTAATTTTTAATGTCAATAGTTTAAACACAAATAATCATTTAAAAGGATTTGACATGACCTTGCTTGTTCTTAGGAAAAAAAAAAACAAACATATCTAAATAAATTGTTTTAAAAGATTGAATAATTTCCATATACTCCAAAGTAGCATAATTGTGCAATTTATGAGAGCAATTCCAAGCAATAGTATGAAGCAGTCATAGCTCCTTAATCAGTCCATGTGAGCTAGTGATGGCAATTGGCAAATGAATTTGATTGTAACAAGGTTGAGAGTTGATAGACGAACCGCCTCTTCCATAAACGATTTATATGATCCCATTGGGCAATATCCACCCAAGGATTTTTGAATGATGTCAAGTCAGCTGTGGTAGTTCCGTTGGGCAATTTCCAGGCCCATGGCAACCAAATAAACATGGGCCTAGAGGTGCTTGGATTACAACTTGACTTTAACAAATCCGTGGGTGGATAAATAAATAATTTCATTATTTAGATAAATATTAAAAGGGGAGCAAAAATGAAAAAACTTTATATTCTTCTTAAATTGAAGAAAAAGTAAGTAGAAGTGGGTTTTAAATATAAACTCTAACCCTACTTTCAATATTAAGTTATTATTATAGCCTTATTGACACATTTTTTTTTTTATTTTACAATTTGTTTTTGTCAATTCTCTAACTGAGTTGAAATTTGCTGGTTGAAACCAGCAAATTAAACTGAAGAAACTAATAGTATGTGGCAAGTATTTGACGATTATGCCAAGGCAATTCCTATTATGACCAGTATGATTTTACAAGCTAATTAACGCTAGACCGTCTCAGGTGGAAAACATGTGCTATTATAATATTTCCATCTCCGGGTAATGCACGTTTTAGCAATATAAGAATGCGAAAAGAAAGGTAGTGGTATTTCCTTCTAGGTCATTCAATCTGCCAGCGAAATATGGATTTCCTTGGGAGCCTGAATCTGATCTGATTCTGATATTTTTTATACCTAATTTTAGTAACAAGAAGTGGAGAGACTATAGGAGTTCAAGGATCTTGATCCTGCCAGCCAAACTTTTTTTTTTTTTCTGAGAGCTTCAAGCTTGAACTGATATTCTTTTTATATTATTATTAGCTATTAATATCCATTGGTAGTAACAGTGTGTGATATGAATACCCAGATATCGCCTTATGCAGCTGATATTGATTGAGAATTTCAAATATATATATTTTTGGCTTTATGCCTTTAGCAACCTTTATTACATATGAAGACAAATAGATCAAGCAGAAAGGCGTGGGCCTGCTAACATACGGAAAGGCCAGATGCAGGTAGCTGAAAACCCTGAAAGCTTAAAAAGGCCACTTTTTTATTCGAAGACTGCTTCAGGCCTAAAATAATAATAATAAATCACTGCTTATTTGGGTTCCAGTAAGGATCAAAATGCAAGCCAATGGAAGAGATCAAAGGCAATCCCCTCGATTCCTTAACTATGATCCTCACAACACTTCCGTGAACCTCTTCTAGTCTGTGAAGCCTCTTATATCCCACTGTTGTTCCTTCCACTAGTTTCTTGCCGTCTACTAAAATTTCATGCCTTACGATCCTTTGACCAAGCCCTATTGCTTCTTGAATTCTGACCACATTGAATCTCAGCCCTTCATTTTGTACTCTGATCTCAATCCAATGTTTCTTTTTGTGACCATCATCCCTTGGTGCCCAATATGTCCAGAGATGATCACTATCCAACACATTCTCGGGACCAAAACCACCTCCCTTTCCCCCTCTTTGGCTACTAGCTTTTATGAAACATTTCTCTGCCAAATTGGTAGAAAATATGGTGTCAATTGCACTTTTAAATTGCTTTAATCTCTGAACATCTGTTTCAGATATAACCCCTGTTGAATTGGGTGGCACATTAAGTAACATGACACAATTTCTTCCCACTGAATTATAATAAATCTGTAAGAGCTCGCTTAACTTCTTTGGTGACTCTGATTTATGCCAGAACCATCCTTTTCGAATTGAAACATCACATTCTGCAGGCAACCAGTTTGTCCCTTTTGGATCACCCGTATTGAGATAACTGCATTATTGAAAAAAAGCAACTGTTAGTTGGGAAGTTCGCAACTCACATGGATGACTTTATTGATTGAAAGCTATAAAGTGCTCTAATGGGATACAGCTGCTAATCAAAGTTGTTCGGTTAACCGCTAGAACATCTACTTATGAGAGTTGAAAAAAGCTTCCCTAGCTAGCTTAAGGCGGTGCACACCTGAAGCTCATTAAAATCATGAGAGGTCAGAGATTACAAGTTCTTTAACTAATCAATGCAAGCTAAAAGTGATATGGAATATGAGAAAAGAGAAAGGGTCTATACAGTAACAGAAAATTAAATTTATATCAATCTTCAAAATATTTTCTATTCACAGCTTATTCTTTTTTATTTTCTTACTTTACTTGCAATTCAACTCCCTGTAGAGTTCAAAGTGTAGAGGTAAAATGATTATAAACTCAAGATATCTGTATACTTACTCGATAATGCTTGCATTTCCTATTGACAGGGAGGTACTATTGATGGTAGACCAGCTCGTGTTTCCGGCAAATCCACGCTCATTTCCCACCCATCTCACGTCGGGACCGGCATCAGAAAATATATTGATTGAACTCTGCAACTCTCTCACCATTGCAAACCAATCTGTGAAGTAGTAGGACATGTTCTTCGCATTTTTACCCTTTGCTCCATCAAACCATATCTCCTTCACGCTCCCATACCTTGCAAATGCGTGTGACAACAAACCAAAGTCAAGTACAATAATGATAATAAATTTAACTACCATCATTAAAAAATACTTTCCTTCTTATGGTTTTGGAATTTGGTGAAGAATAAATGGAAGATCAATAAAGTAAAAGGATATTTTTCTTTATCTTACTCGCTAAGCAGCTCTTGCAACTGAGCTAAGTAGTATTCGTTGTACTGCAAATCATGTCCGTATCTCCGATCATGGCGATCCCAGGGTGACAGGTACAATCCAGCATCAATCCCGCCATGAGCCTTGACTGCACTGACAAACTCTTGCACCACGTCCCCATGGCCATTTTTCCAAGGACTAGATATAACAGAATGATCAGTATATCTAGAAGGCCATAAGCAAAAGCCATCATGGTGTTTTGCCGTGAGAATCATGAGAGAAATCCCTGCCTCTGCAGCTGCGGTAACCCATTGCTTGGCATCGAGACCAGCAGGGTTGAATATGGCTGGGTTTTCCTTTCCCGTTCCCCATTCGGAGTCTGTGAATGTGTTGACACCGAAGTGGAGGAACATTATGAGCTCTCTTTGTTGCCATTTCAATTGGGAAAATGTAGGGAGTGGTAGGACCGGGAGCGGTGGTGTTGGGACTTGTTCGCGCCGAGCAATGGCCAAATTTGACGGTTGAAGTATTATGATTATGCACAAGGAACACCAAAACTTAGCCATAATGCTTACGGGTCCTTTTTTCTTTCCCTCCTACTTGTCTTAGTCTAATATGTTAATGATGAAGAGATACATAGATGCTTAGATGATAGGGGATGGGACCAAACAAAAAGAGGGTGTGGAAGATTCTGTGACAAAAGATAAGAAAAAGTGAAAGTAAGAAAGCTTTTTGATACAAATTTTGTTTGGTTCTCCCATTCTGAGTCTTTATTTATAACTGTTGTGAGTGAAATTGTGGACAGCATTCACGGGTTGCATTGGCCTTTCCATTTCAGGTCGTGTGAACAACACAGTGAGAATAATTAGAAAAAGGGAAAATGAGAATGAGATGGGCCGTAGTCATTTTTATTCCCTAGAGCGCTCAAACTGTACAACCCATTGAACCCATTCTCACTAAAGGCCCTACCATAGTGGACCTCATGAGGAAGCCAGCCACGAGATCGCGTCTTCGACCTGTGCGTGTCCCACGATGCTTAGCGCTGAGTTAACATTTCAAACACTATTTTAATTTATTTTTTTTAAAAAAATGTAAATTTTATGTTGCTTGTGGGCGTTTCTTTTCTTAAGAGGATATGTGAAATTTCATTTGATTTTGGACAATTAAATTAAATGAAAGCAGATATTTTCTCACCTCGTACAATCCCTACGGAATGTGCTGCATGCTCATGGACGAATTTCTACTTCTATATGATCACCACATACTTTTTGGTGAGTTTTTTACTTAATTATTAAAAAATAATTTTTAATGAGTTTTTTATTTACTTAATTATTAAAAATTAATCAAATGATTTTGATCACGTGATAAATGAATTGATATTTCATAATTAAGGTCAACTAACATAAAAACTTTTTTACAAAAGATAATCATAAATTTGAAACAGTTAAGTGATCAAAATATTAATTTTCGTAAAACCATTAATTTCAACGTAGAGAAAAGTTTCCAAACCCTATAAATATGTTTGGGTCAACAGCTAGTGTTGCCTTTTTGGGAATACCGTTGGCGAACAGTGATGGTTTTCAAAAACTATAAGACTATAGATGATACGCAGCTTTCCAATAAAGGAAAAGTGGCATTGACTTTCATCGTTTCAACTTAAATTCAACTACGCTGTAGCAGGCGGTCATGCCGGTTGCCACGGCTAATTAATGCTGCTACCGATGACAATTTATGGTTGTACAGCCAAAAAAATGAATTCTAGTTGATCATTCATTCGTGTTGGGATGGGATTTCCCATTCTTCCTCAATGGACTTTGGAGACAACTTAATTATGTATGACAGTATTACAACAGATAGTCTGCACGTTTAGGCTCGATAGGTATATTATTCAAACCGTAAGACAACCATTGGATGTAGCTACATGTGTATACAACAAGTTTATTATCAAATAAAAGTTTCTTTCAAAAAATAAAAAACATGATTTTAGCATATATATATATATAAATATATCATGCACTGTAGTGTGTGTTTGAACATATAACCAAATGAGTAGTCATAGACAGGGATGGGTCTACATATTTGAGGTTTTGGGGCTCAATTGCCTCCACTGAACATTGGAAGATTCATGGAAATTACTATAGAAAAACTAAAAATAGTATTTTTTATATACATATATATACACACTTTTGCCCCCACTAAAATTTATCAGAACTTTAAATTTGGAGCATACAAATCTTCTTGAGTTGAAAAACTTCAAACATACCTTACTGTATCAGTAAGTGAATGAAAATCAAAACCTCTTATTACTAATTATAATTACAAAAGGAAGATCCCCAGTTCAAATAATTTCCTTTCGTTCCAAAACCATGAAAGCATATCATTCAATTTGGGTATAAATGTTACTGAAAGTCCTGGGATGTATGTTAATTACAGTGCAGTTTAAACTCAGTTGGCTACTGCTACATGACATTGATACAGGTTGATCCGGCCCATTTACACTTCCATTTAAACCCTTCCCCACAAGGCAGACGAAATCCAAAAAGGGATGCAACTTAAAAATTAGGCGTCTCACCTCGTTTGGCTCTCCAGGATGGATCCTCTTCCTCTGCCCGAGCTTAAGCAAGATTCAGTTTCCAACATCATGGGCATTTTCCTCTCCACCGTGCTATCTACGCACCTTTTTTCAATCCCCCTGGAGCTACTTCCATTTTCTACTCTTGTACTTGTATTCATGTCCATCGAAGGTTTGTTTGTCTTCCACAAATGGGAACCCATTTTCCATGTCCTATTATTATTTTCCTTCCTTCTTCTATTTGTCCTCGGAGTCGGACCCTTCGCCTTCAAGCCGCCGTCAGTCTATCTTGTAGACTTCTCATGTTTCAAACCGCCAAACTGTTGTAAAGTCCCTTTCTCTCACTTCACTGAACACGCCGCCATGATTGAATCTTTTGACAGTGAAAGTGTAGAGTTCATGGCCAAAATACTCGCTTCTTCGGGACTGAGCGAGGACACATACCTTCCTCCAGCCTTACACTGCATTCCCCCGAAAACCCATCAACGAGAGTACGTTAAAGAAGCCGAAATGGTTCTCTTCCCTCTAATGGATGATCTTTTATCCAAAGCCAAACTCTCTCCTCGCGATATCGATTTACTCATCATAAACTGTAGTGGCTTTTGCCCTTCACCGTCTCTCCCCTCCATTATCGTGAACAAATACTCCATGAGAAGTGATGTGAAGAGCTATAGCCTTTCTGGTATGGGGTGCAGTGCAGGAGCTATTGGCATTGACTTGGCGCAAAATCTTCTCAAAACTAACAGGAATTCTATTGCCATTGTTCTTAGCACTGAAATCTTGTCTGCCGGTTGGTATTCGGGTCATGAAAGGTCTATGTTGCTCCTTAACTGCCTCTTCAGGATGGGCAGCGCAGCAGTCTTGCTTACAAACAAAAAAGAAGCAAGTAAATCATCGAAATACAGGCTTTTACGCACCCTGAGAACCCAAACAGCCTTTGAGGACAAAGCTTATTTGACGGTAATTCGTGAAGAAGATACTAGTGGAAAACTTGGGGTTACCATTAACAAAGATTTGCTACAAGCTGCGGGAGAAATTCTCAGGTCACACGTAACAATCCTTGGTTCGCAAATCTTGCCCTTCAAGGCAAAACTTAGGCATGCAATCTCTATCATACGAATGAAATTCATTAAGAAATCAGGGAAGGTTTACATGCCAAGTTTTAAGACTGCGATACAACATTTTTGCTTGCCAACTTCCGGAAGGGCGGTCATAAGAGAGATAGCCAAAGGGTTAAAGCTTGATGAGAGAGATATTGAAGCTGCTTTAATGACACTGCATAGGTTCGGGAACCAGTCTTCTTCTTCAATGTGGTACGAGTTAGCTTACTTGGAGGCCAAGGAACGCGTGAAGGAAGGTGACAAGGTGTGGCTGCTTGGTATGGGTACTGGACCAAAGTGTAACAGCTTCGGTTTGGAATGTGTGAGGCCCATAGTTGGGGAGTCCAAGAAGAACCCATGGAGCGATTGCATCCACCTGTATCCGATAGAGGCCGTTCCTTCAAAATCCCCAACCTGATTGTGATTTTCTTAATCCCAAACAAATTTCATGACCAATTGGCTTAAATTAAGAGGAGAAAAAAGGTTCATTCTACAATGGATAAAGTATAAAATTAATTAAGCTAAGCGTTGTCTAGGAAGAATAGGAATAAGTCTAAGTATGATTCCATTATATATATATGTATATATATATATATATGGAAATTATTACAAATTGACAATGGAAGTTAGGACTCAATCGTTGCAATTTGTGGTTATTTTGTTGGGAACAATAAAATCGCAAGCTTATATACAAATCCAACCAGTAGGAGCTATAGAAAGTATACGTGAGCAGGTGAGTTGCACGTCAGTTATTGGAATTAAATTCAACCAGATTTGGATTCGGACCATTTGTTTATACATTTGGCTAAATAAGTACGTTTGACCTTACAAAATAAGAGAAACTCGAAGGTTTTTAGGCAGCAGTGGCAAAGCTCTAAGGGTTCTCGTAGGGCCTTAGCCCCCTTGACTTTTCAAAATTAACCAGCTTGTTTGCATTCCATGACCATACTGGAGCTCATGCACGAACTGGTTTAAGTGTTGAAATTCAGTTCATTTATTGGTAAATTATGTTTAAATTTTTTCCTCCAAAATGAGGTTATGTTAATTATAAAAAAGATATAATACCAATAATTTTTTAAAATAAATTATTAAATAAATTTAAAAAATTAAAAAGTTAAAATTTTTAGTTTTTTTTAGAAGTAATTTTTTAATTAAGTCAGTTATAAAACTAATATAACTTACTAAAATTGATTAAACAGTTAAGTCAATTAAATGCAAAATTCCACCGGTTTGGTTTAATTTCTATACAAAGTCAATTAAGTCGATTAATGAAATTTTTTGACAGATTTAACTTATTACTTGCCCATACCTTTAATTGTATGTGTAGGGTCCTGTTACAAGTGGCTAAAGGTATTTATCAACGTAGTTACATTACTATTAAAAAATGGTTTTTATTAAATGCATTTTTTCTATTAAATTCAAGAAGAAATAACACATTATTTATAAAATATTTTTATAAATATCATATTAACCAATACCTATAGACACTTTTT